AGCTGGCACAGGAAGGAGGGACTGAAGTGCCAGGAGCACCAAATATTTAGAGGTACCGTCCTCTTCACCAAGCCTGCGTGGAAACAGTGTTCATGTCAATGAAATGCAGGGCTCCCAGAGAGAAACATGAAATAAGATGTGTCCTTGGGGGCTTCCCTGGTGGCGCAGTGGTTGAGAGTCCGCCTGCCGATGCAGGGGACACGGGTTCGTGCCCCGGTCCGGGAAGATCCCACATGCCGCAGAGCGGCTGGGCCCGTGAGCCATGGCCGCTGGGCCTGCGCGTCCGGAGCCTGTGCTCCGCAACGGGAGAGGCCACAACAGTGAGAGGCCCCGGTAGCGCAAAAAAAAAAAAAAAAAAAAAAAAAAAAAAAAAAAAAAGATGTGTCCTTGGCTTCCGCAAGCTTTCTCGATAGATAAAATCAATATCAGGGTATATCTGAAAATAACAAAAGATGGAAATGCCCACCCAAGGCAGTAACAAATGATTCCTTGTTAAATACATAATATTGACCTCCCAAGGCTTCGAGAAAGAGGTATAAATGTTGACCTTGGGCTTAGGGGACATTAGCGTTTGGATATCAAGATAGAGAGGCTAAGGGAAGGCATGATGGGCAACAGAAACCTCATAAGAAAAGGCAAGGCTTAGGCAGGGAGGCTTGAAGCCTGTTCAGGAGATGGTGAGGTCACCTGTTGAGCCAGATGCCCTAAGGCGGGGCATTGAATGCCAGGTCAAGGCATGCAGCCTGATCACATAAGCAACGGGGAAGCAGGGGAACGTTACATCCAAAGGAGGAGATGATTGGGGTGGTGGACGCTCTCAAAGACAAGCCACCACTCACTAGCAGCCAGAGCGCGTGGAGCAGCAAGACAAATGTCACTCTCAGAGCTCTGTCAGACCGGGGCAGGGGCCAAAGAGAAGTGACAGGAAGTGGGGATCTGTGATCACAGGTGGGCGGGATGTAGAGGACGATAAAGAGTGATGAGAATAAAAGAAGGTGATACAGGTACATGAAAACCTCTTTCTCCTAGGACTCGGCCTAAGCACAAAAAAAAAAGGGTGAAACCCCAGGGAAAGAACCAGCTTCGGGTAACATTCACGGGAGGCAAGGCGAGACGGCAGGAACTGTGCCCAGCTGGCTGTCATGCATTCGGGGAGCCTTGTGTTTTCTCTTCCAACATGCTTTCCTTGAAGCTCATATGGTTTGTTTTCTTTTTAAACAGTCTTTTTTTGAAAAAAATAAATTGTGGTAAAATATAGTACATAATATTTATCATTTTAACCATCTGTAAATGCACAATTCAATGACATTAATTACATTCACAATGTTGTGTAACCATCACCACTATTTTTTTTTTTTTTTTTTTTTTTTTCTTGCGTTATGCGGGCCTCTCACTGTTGTGGCCTCTCCCATTTGCGGAGCACAGGCTCCGGAC